CGGAATACAAAGTTATGATAAAAATACTGAAAGAAGGTGCAGCTGCCTGTTTAAAACAAGAAATTCCGTTACATAATCCGTTAAAACAACAAATTCCGTTAGTTTTTCCGTTAAAAACAAGAAATTCTGTTACATAGCCACTTTTAATATATAGAAGATGTGTGCTATCAAACATACCCTAATATCAGCATTATTTCTACCATAATTAAAAAGATTCAACACATTCCATTTTAATCACATTCGAGCAAAAAATTACAAATCACAAAACTACTTAAAAGTCAAAGACTTATTACCATTTAAGATTCATGTTTCGAAGACCTTTCCATTGATAAGCCATCTCTTTTTCTCACACGATTCGAAATCTAGAAATAAAGAGTTCATTTATGCAATTCCCTGCATATTTGATCAAAATGAAAAATCAAATATCCCTTTGAGTCAGCAAATTTTCACTTTTAAGTAAATTTACATGACGGTACGATTGAAATTACTCAGAAAAAGAAAAGCATTTTTTTCTACTTGAAAAAAAAAGGTAAAATATTCAGACATGTTTTGGGCAAAAAAAATTAATTACAAAAATTTTACATTTTTTTAGCTCTAGCCAAACGTGCTCTGAAATTGAATCCCAGCGAAAAACACCAAGTAAAACAAAAAAATAGAAGGGGAAAAAATTACATGGTTAAGATTACGATATCAGAATACCATAAAGGTAAAATCTTGAATTTAATTAACACCAGGAAACCAAACTAAACGCAATCTATCATGTACAATAATTTAGAAATACAAAACAGGAATTTTTATAGCTGAAAATTGAAATAATTACTTACCCAACTGAGGAATGAAGCTACACAAATCACGATTCGAGATGGCAACGAGAAAAAGTAGGAAGTGGCATTGTCATTTTTCAGAAATCACACTGATGTAAACTAGTTCTTACAAGAGCAGGGGTGTTGAAAGTGCCGGCATGGGCCAGTCCTTTTAATACTAGGCCCAGCATATATCTACAAAATGGTGGCCTATCAGGGCCCAGTGGCTATGAGAATGGGATGGCCAAGCTGGACCGGTTTGCGGACCCAGTATTTAAGGCCTAAGCCCATGAGAGTATGGGAGCACACCTCACACCCTATATGTGAACTTACACCATCTCCTCCTCCATCGCTGGCTAGAAACATATTCAGTGCCCGTTTGGCCCTCATTATTCCACATTATAATGAGAGGGATAGTAATTTTTTAGAGAATATGTGATTGATATGAAAAGAAAAAAATGAATTATAATTTAATTGGGCCAAACGATGGCTCATTATTATTCTATCTAATCGATTGTTCATTATATCCTTCTCAAATGTCTCCTCCTTAATAATCGGACTAACCCACTCCAGACTGTACAATAGAGATCGAGATAATTGCATAAGTCCGACTCCAGATCCATCAATGAGATTCGAATACCCAAAAAAAAAAAAAATAGAGTTGGGACACAGGTCGAGCCATGGCCAAGTCACGTACAGCCCAGTTGGACATGGGGACATTAGAGACGAGTGCAAATATATTATTTTCTCTCTATCTTACTTTCCTTTTTCTTTTAAAGATTTTTTTTTTTTTTTTTTGGGCAAAGTAACTTTCGAATTACTGTCGAGGAGTTAGTTTTGAAAACATATTCACTCACAACTATACTTCTAAAATTTTTAACATTAGCCAAAGA